TTGGAGTTGTCAGAGACAAAGACCCATTACACACTGAAGTCTGCATCCCCAAAGAGCATTACAAACGATCTTATTAAATCAGTGGCCTGAAAATATCAAGATATATCAGGTATGGCATTTATTTACCTGTTATTGTCTGCCAGAGAGTTTGCGCTTGATTGGCATATGGATAATTGTCTAATTGGAACACACTCAGTTGTAACCACCAAAAAATGTAATAGTGCATCTGTTTAATGTCGTACTCTCCAATGTGAAATTAAAATTATACTGCAGTCAGCCAATCCAACTGAGGGACTCTTCTGATGAAGTTCTAGCTGCCTGTAAACTTCTGTAATAGAAGCATTCAGGTACTTTAAAAATTCAGACTAGAAAGAATATCATAGTCTCATAAATTTCAAGTGAACAAGGACCAGAAAATCTGACTTAAATTATCTATTTGTGGGCTATCTCATTGTTTTTGTAGGAGATCTAATTCAAATGAAAAATAGCCATTTTGAATCACGACTGTTTTAAATACATAAATATTAGATTCACAAGTTTATGCTTTGTAAACAAAGCAAGCATTAATCTTGAAGAACACAGAGAGCAGTCTAGGGGTGTTGATTTTGTTTTTCCTCTAGCGGTGGTTTTTCTCCTTTTCTTGTTGGAATGTGGGTATGAAATTGCATAATTAAAAATTCATTGATTGTATTTTCTTAGCATTATAAGAAACATTCCCCTTTAGTTTAAGAAGGATATCTGTAACTGCCAGGGGAATGAATCAAAATGTCTTAAATGGAGCTGCTGTTTCCTTCTGAAAGTCTCATGTACCCATATGTCTAGAACAATAATTACCCAGTGATAGATCCTCGGGTCATTTTTGTCATTGTGGTTGTTTGGCATTTTGTCTGCTATGGCTTTTGTTTCTTTACGCTTTTTGCTAGATCATGATTTAATGCCCCAGAAGCGGGGAAATCAGCAAGCACTCATCCCCTCTTCATTCATTCACTCAGCACCTACTATGTGTTATGGATAACCTAACATTTGAACTTACCATTGGTGGATGTAGTCTAGTTGAGGAGATAACTATGAAATGTAATATGCCATACTAAGTGCTTTGGGAGCATAGAAGCTGGGACAACTAGCTTTGCTTGGGTGACTGGAGGAGGTCTTCATCACCAATGAACCTAAGGCTACCATAGTGTGCAGGTTCTGCCCGGGACAAGGACACAGCGCCAAAGGAGTGAGTGGGAATGAAATCCAACCCCTTCTTCACTACCTGACCATGAGCAGCTGTGTCTCCCTACAGGGTGCAGCTCTTTTCTGTTGTGCAAAGTCATCCTATGTATTGGTTTTGGCCTGAAATCATTCTTTAAGTTGGCCTTAAAATGAACAGGAATCTGCCAGGCAAAATTCTGGGCAGTGAGCTTGTCATAGAATTAAGAAAGGACCTAGCATGTCTGGGAATGAGAATGTCAGTAGTTTGAGTTGTGTCCATGTGAGTTTGGGGAGTCAATAGTATTTTTCAAGCTGGGAGCACATTTATTCTTAGATGGTCAATTTTCTCAGGAGTGTAGGGTGAACGACAGGAAGCACAAGCAGATCCAGAATTCAGGAGATGGTCACGTTAACTCTGACGGCAAGGAGGGATGGAGAAAAGGCAGAACAATCAGCAGAGGGGCTGTGAGGGGGAAGAAAGGGCAGGGGCTGACTGCAGGGTTCTAACTCAGGGCACCAAGGGCAAGACTCAGGTGGGGGTGGGGTGATAGTGAGCACAGCTTGAAACACTGTGAGTGAGCTCTGTTCAGTGTAAGTGCACAGGGCGTGCATATGGAGCCCTGGGTATGGTAGGGTCACCGGGAGAGAGCCCACAGCAAGGAGAGAACCTAGCAGCCTACTAGCTGGCAATCAGAAAGGCATTGGTGACCTCGGTAAGGAGAGTTTTAGTAAAGAACTGTGGATAGAAGTCACATTGTAGTAAGATGAGGATTAAATAAATGCTAAAGGAGACAGTGGTTTTCATCTCCAGGTGTACATTAGAATTACCTTTGAAGGTTTTTTTATAAGTAGCATTGCCTAGATATTCTCGGTGGATTGGTCTTCTGTGGGGCCCAGCAATCAATACTTTTTAAAAGTTCCCCAGAATTCAGGAACAGTACCCCTGACTATTCTTTAAAAAGTGTCAATAAGCCCAAAAGCTAGCAAGCATATGATGAGATGCTTAAAATCATAGGGAATCAGACAATTTTAAAAGATCAAGAATCTTTATATTATTAAACTAATAAATATTAGAAAGCTGGATAATGCTATGTTAGTATGGATATGGGGCACAGTAACTCAATACCACTGGTGGTTAGGCAGATGGGTACAGCGATTCTGTAGAGCAGCTTTGGCAAAAGAACTCATTAGGCACACCCTACATGCTTGTATTTCTGCTGCCACATAAGCATGCCAGAGAAATGCTCCCCCAGGTCCACAGGTGGCATGTGCTCGCATGTTCCACTGCAGCCTTGTATAGGGAAAGGAGAATTGGCGATAATCTGAGTGGCCCTCACTGGGACGGGGATTAGGTATACGTAGGTAGACACATGCTATAGAACACTATGCAGACGTCAGAAGCACTAGATTAAACATATACAAATAATACGGATGGATCTTAAAAACATAACACGGAGTAAAAACTGAGTAAACAAGAAATGATAATCACATAAAAATACATACTCACAAAACAATGACAATATGTATTTTGAAAAAACATTCAAATAAAAAGAGACCTTTAAAAGTCATTGCCTACATATGAGAAGAGAAGGAAATGGGGATTTGAGAGGAGACATTTTAAAAAATGTGATTCTCAGGAAGAATGGGATAGAATGAAAGCTTAAAAGGGAAGTGAGGTCAAGGGAAGGTGTGGGAGAGCGAGAGGATGAAGACGTGCTGTGGTGTGAGGATACAACGGCAGACTCCCAAGGGCTCTCACTGCCCTCTCGTTCATTCACAGCATTGGGAATGACAGCTGGGTTGTGTCTAAGTATTTCTTCCTTTGCCTTTCCCCAACCATAATCAAGTTCATTTGATTTTTTCCTCATTACTAAAGCAATGTATGTGCCTTACAGTCATACTAGAAACCTACAAACAAAACTAACAGAAACATCCTTAAACCTACTTACCCAGGCACCACATCCAGATTCATATCTGGTAATACATTGCAAAAATTTAATGAAACCTTTTCAGAACTTTTCAAGTGGGAGCAGTGCATGGTGGACTTCTATGCCCAGAGATATTTGTACAACTTCATTTTTGATGGCTGCGTGTTGTTCCACTGAACAGATACACCATCATTACTGTAGCCAACCCCCTTCTACTGGATGTCAACTGCTTCTAAATTGAGCTACCCCAAGTGCTAAGTGAACAGACATAAGCTATCTACCTGTGCAGACAATTTCCTGTCCTTCATTTGGCTCATTTTTAAAAGAGGTTTAAGGATTGAACTTGAAATCATCTAATGATGTAAAAATTCACTGGGCATCTTTGAATTCAGAGCACCAGCTCCCCACAGAACCATTCTGGAGCCATGAGTGAGAATGAAGGAACACAGTCATTCCCCACTGTCTGGAAAGAGTCATTTAAGGTACTTGTCACAGTGCCAAACTACAAGATGGGCTCCCTGGTTTCTGTCCTTTAATCAGCTGATACACAATGAAATCACATGAGATGCTAAGGGAGCCGCATGGGATGTGTGCATCACCTCACGTATGAGTATGACATGGGCAGGTGGTGAAACAGGAGGTACAGGATTTTTAGAAAATTACAGGGAAATCACTGTTTATGCTGGGGGACCAAAGTAGGTTCTCACATTTATATCCAGTGCCAGAGCAGGGAGCAGAGCAAGCAAGCCCAATGGAAAGCACAGTTGTTTTTCTGAGCACTTCCTGCCCCCCAGCAAACCCCAAAACTAGGTTTTAAAGATTTGGTTTAATCCTTCCAATTGGTAGGTTGAAGCATCAGAAATCCAGAGTCACTGTTTCAGGGCTTGATAGTTAAGAACTGGCCAGGCAGCCCTGCAGCCAGCTGGGCAGGCCCTGCAGCAGCCCTGATGCCGGAAACGGCCTCCTGCGTGGCAGGAAGGCACTGGCATCTTCATATCTTTGGTGCACGTGTGTGATTATGCTACAGAAGAAATGTACTTCTGTCTTTGCAAACTAGTCCTTTGTTGGCAAGAAACTTTGAATAAACATAGCTGTTTCCAGGGCCTTGGAAGCTCTTGAATGTGTTCTCCAGCCTAAGTATATATTAACATATAACCATGTTCCAAAGAATTAGTACCGGGCAGCCCTATGCTCTTGGCAGACAGGTAAGGCTCCCCATGAGTTACAGTTGATAGCATAAGGCAGGCTCAAGGCTTAAGAAATATCCCTTCAGTGGCCCTGCTTAAAAAATTCCAGTATAGGCCATAGCTTAGTGTTTTGACAGCTTATATCAGCAGTTTTCTCAGCTGATATATTGATTCCAGCTTGGACTTCAGTCCTACCAATCTAATAAAACAGCACTGTGATAACAGAAAAAGTAAAAGGATCTTCTGTGGTCCCAGCTACTTGGTGAAGCAGTCTTACAAAGCTACTATAAAGCTAACTTTACTGTCACGCATGAAATAAAGTAAACTGAGACAAGCTGACTAATTATATTAAGGGTTTTTTTAATTATATGATTTCTGCATCTATCAATATGTTGTTTATTAGCACTATTCTACATATGTTTGCAAGTATGCGTTTGTTGAAAGGAACATAAGGGTGACTTCACAAATACTAAAACAAACTTGTTTAATTGTGTATCAGTATCACAAATAGCCTAATAATTTGTCACAAACTGTAATACTTGCTGGGGGGCAGGAGGGACAGACACAAAAGTTAACTGGAGCCTGGATTAAGTTTGAAGACATGTAAAAATCTCCTCCAACTTTCTGATTATCTTCCAATCACCTGGCCATCAAGCCTACTTATCTTAAATGTCCTTTACCTTCACAGCAATTGCTGACCATCCAGGAGGAGCTAAACAACAAGAAGTCTGAGCTGGAACAAGCCAAGGAAGAGCAGGCTCACACGCAAGCACTACTCAAAGTCCTCCAGGAACAAGTAAGTGAAGGCCCCAGCTCTGACCGCATGCCAGCTCAAACACTGATGCACCCCTCACTAGTCCCTGACACACGTGTGAACAGATCTGAAACTAATCTGCTGTACAATTAGCCTGTAACTGCCAAACCTCCCAGCGGCCTTGCTGTGTGGAATTCTCATTTCCAGCATCTCATTTCCAGCATCTCTGTTCTCACTCATGGACCTACTTAGAGCACCCAAGCCCTCCAGCGGTGTATGAACCTTTCCTCTCCAGGACAAAAGAATTTTGATAGTTTTAAATATTGGCAATGCAGATATCTTTCAAAGCAAGCAGCTACTTTCCTCTTAAGTCTAACGGTGAGGAAAATGAGTTTAGCAAAATCCGTGGCACTCCTGCAGACATATGAGAAAGAAAAACTGAGTCACAGGGACATTAAAAACACATCTTCCCTGTGCATCAGGGCACTTATCTAACCACAGTGAGCAACAGCCTTTTATGTTAAGTTTGTAAATCTGATCATTTCATCCTCTCTTTCTTTGATAGTAAAGTGTGGCCTGACATTGATAAGTGGATTTCAAAGTATTGTCTCTCAGAAGGGTAAGATGGATGGCTCAGCAGCAGAGGGAAATCTAAGTGACATCTAAGCCCAGCAACTACATAGGCGAGCTCTTGAATTACTTTCCTGTTTCTGGCCTTCACATGCTGTCAACAATGTAGTGGATGGTAACTGGGGAGAAATATTCACATACAGTAACCCCAACCCTTGGGGATAATCAAATTTAGGTGTTTTTAAAAATTTCACTCTCAGTGGTTTCTGAGATTTTTTATACAATATAAATAACCTTGAAAGTGGTGTTTTTTTAAAAATATAAAATTGGAAAAGTATGACCCTAGTCAGCTGTGATCCGGTCACTTTACAAGTGATTTTTATCTTTTAATGGTTTGGAATCAAGAAAATATATTTTGAGTTACTTTCCTCTCAAAGTAGAAGTGACTTGTGAGGGAAAAGTGAAGATGTTGGATAGTTTGTAAGCTTTGAAGCATTGGAAGAAAATGCTTTATAAAACTAATCATTATCTTTATATGATTAATATAGATTCAGTGACTCAGACTGAGGTTGAATCTGTATGATTTTGAATAAGTTTGAAATGAAAAATATAGACTAAATTCACAATGACCTACTGTCTAGGGGCCTTTCCTCCTCTACATTGTTAGCAGACTCCCAGCAGAGTATAGGTGATTTGGTTCAAATCTGCTGCTGACCCAGCAGACATATCTCTGAACTTTGTTACGAACTTTTCTCTTTCTCTCTCAATCCCTCTCTCCCCCTCCCTCTCTCCTTGATTTACTGGGATGGGGAAGGATGAATTTCTTTTCTTCAAATGACTCAAATCCTTTACATATGTAGCTTTTTTTAACATAATGCTTATCACACTTAATAGACTACATCACAGTATAAACAGAACTGTTAAGTGCCCTGGGGAACCAAAACATTCATTGGTTTGCTTTATTGTGCTATTCGCTCTATTGCAGTGCTCTAGAACTGAACCTGTAATATCTCTGAGCTATGCCTGTATTGTGATTTGAAGTCCAAACCCCACCATAAAAACAGATGAAGATTTGCAGAAAGTATTGATATACTCCAGTTATGGCATGCATTTTTAAAGATCAAAAAGCATACACACAGGCATTGATGAAGCATCACACTTTACTGTCTGTTACTTAAGAAAAAATACATAAAATAAAGGGGAATGTGAAGACAATTCAGAGCAAATAAAACCAGTAAAGATGTAGGAAATATGACTATGAAGGAAGCAGTTTTAAATCTGCTGTGCTAATTTACACGGGACAACTCTTTTCAAGCAAAGGCCTATCATTCTAACGGGGCCAGTGACACACCCAGCAACCAAATGCATTTGAGGGCTGTGGCCACCACCAGGCTGTTTTCCTGAGACCCCCCTGCCTGGTGCCCTGTCATCCTTGCAGATGGGAGCGCGGTGGACATGTTTCTTCTGTCTCCCTGCAGCCACCCACCCACATACAGACACACACTTAAAAACACACTTCTGCTTCCATGAGCACTGCCTTACTAGGCTTTCTTTGTACTTGTGTAGAGTGACCACATGTGTAAAACGTTTTCACTGCTTGCACAGATAGGATTTAGACAAATAGTATCTCTTCTGTGGAGTATGACAGTATGGACCAAGGTTCTTGCTGTTACACACACATGCACACACACTCACACACTCAAAAAGATATAGCCTTCTCTGAAGCCCTGATACTCTGTGATTCAAAGTGACTGCCACTTGATGGGAATCCTGAAAAGAAAGACTAGGCCACGAGGTCGGACGCTCACCAGCATCAGGCCCCAGACCCCCAGGGAAGGCTCACCAGAAGGTTCCCAGCATCTAGGTGCAGCTTCTCTAGGCCCTCCATGCCCCGCTGGCCCTGGCCTTTCAGCTCTATGAAGATGACGGCATCTGACATCTAGAGCTTGTTCACAAACCCAGCTGTCATCAGACAAAATGTTTGGCCCATCAGTGCAGCTGGAGGAGAGGCGGGCAGGGAGCAAGCCAGTGAAGGGCCAGGCAGTGACTGGCCGGCAGCTGCGACCAACAGAGAGGCGTGGGGCCGCTGCAGGAGGAGGGGCCCCAGGGCAGTTGGGCCAAGAAATCAGAGGCGAGGCTGGCCCAGGGATCAGGAGTGAGAGGAGAGCACACCCAGAAGGGCAGAACCGAGGGGTGGCACGGAGCAGGAAGAGGGGGTTATTTGAAAGGAAGAAGGAGAGTGCCAGCTACGTCCGTGCTGGCAGCCATGGAAAGGGCACAGGCTCTGACAACACCGTACTTTCCTTCTGTGGCAGATGAACCCTTTTCTAAGCTCACCCGTCTCGGACTTGTGGAAGCATGAGTCACAGGTCCTAGGAGGTGGGACAGACAGACGGACAGGGCTGGCGGAGAGGAAGGTGGAGAATGCTGATGATACAAAAATCTTAAGATAGGAAAGCATACAGGACTTTTTAGGTACTTCTGTGCCCTGTGGTGATACGAGGCATTCCTACCACTGTGGCACAATTTGACTTCTCACATGTACCACACACTGTATTTGTCATGTGTAGAAACATCAGTGACTTAGTCCTGAAGAACAGTAAGCAGAATTTTTTTTTTCCTAGTAGAAGTGACATGGAAATAAGCCAGAGAGCCTCTGGTCCAGAATCAGCTGCTTTTCTTCACGTCATCATTCCTTTGGCAAAGGAGTGTAGTCTTCATTTTCGGCATGAAGAGTGTATGGCCTTTTTGCTGAGATTTTGAGACTGCCTTTAAAAACTAAAGAAGCTTTCATTTTATTATATACAAATAACCAGCAAGAGCCAATATTCTGAATCAAACACATCGTTGGTGTATGTGCATTTATTTTCTTTCAGGCTTTAAGCATTTATTTCCGGCATTTAAAAAATATGATACAGAAGATGCCACTTCTTAAATGTAAAGCCAGGAAAAAATACTGGTAAACAGCTACAAGGCCTGCTCACACCTCGCCTTTGCTCTCTGCCTCCAAACAACTGCTTTGTGCCACGACAGGATAAAATGCCAATGAAAGGTTCCCAGAAATCTCCTGATAACTGATTACTCTAAGCCTCCTGAGGGAGAGTAGAGAGAATAGTGTTTTCAAGTGATCACTGTTAACAAATCTCATTTGAGAAATAGCTTTCCTTCTAATGCCTCAGTGACCAAGGAGATGTCTTCCCAGCTCCCTTTACAAAAAGAGGCAAATTGTCCTTTTTTAGACCTCCAGAAACGATATCAGTCATTCAAATATGTTCTCAAGATGGTCACGTACAGTAGCACACAGCACGTGAGAACAACCCAAATACATCATTCACGAATAACCATTCATGTAGCATCATTTAGCTGGTGGCAACTTGCAAACACTGCAGGGTTTAAATTAACAGCAATACAACTAGGAAATGAAATCATTTATTATTCTTAAGAACCAATTTTATACATTCTATGCCTCTGGAACTGCTTTCTAATCATATTATTTAAAATATAATGACTGAGACCCATTTATTTTTTGCCAGCCACCAAGTTTCATAAAATATTGGTCTCAAACTGGTTTCAGTAAAATGTATTAGAATTATAAGCTGCGTCTGTTTTCTTCTCAGAAGTTTTATAAAGAATGACCTCAGATAAATAACAGATATGCTTACTTACTCATTTGGGTTTTTTTTTTTTTCTTCTTAAAATTTGCAGTTAAAAGGTACCAAGGAATTGGTCGAGACCAATGGCCACAGCCATGAGGACACAAATGTAGGTACCGATAACCTGGCATTTGCTCTTACTTGTTGGTTGAATGCCCACAGGTATGTGATACTTTATTTGTAACACCAAGAAAATCAGAAGCCATGACTCCCAGTGGCTTATTAAGATTACTCTGCATGGTTTGACAAGAAAATATGGTAGGTAAGCATTGCTGTTTGTTAGCTTAGGTTGCCAAATGTCAATGTAGGAGTCCTTGAGCTAATGTCTACTATAAAAATTCTAATCTCAGTGAATTTGTTTGAGCCCTTTATATTTTCAAAGCTATAAACGAATGATGCATTGGGAGGGCAAATGGCAGGAAACCCAGTATGGTTGTATGCTGCATGTATATTTATTAAGTTTGCCTGTCAATGAAGATGGTAATAAAATGATTGCTATGCTGAAGAGATTTCAGAGCAAACCCCTCCTCCCAGAAAAGCCATTGAAAGCACATCTCTCTTCTGTTTCTGACCCAGTGCAATGGTGTGGTGCATCCATTTCCTTGATACAGTGGTGCGAGGTCCCAGTTAGCACCTTGACTTTCTCTCTTAGTGGTCCTTGAATATCCAGTTGCTCAAAATTACACAAGTATTCTCTTAGCCTTAGAAGTTCTTTACTAAAACTAGAGACTATTTATGGACTATTATACCATGTAGATCACTGTGGACTCTTATACCATGTTAATCACCATCTCTCCATATATTTGATGGTTTTGTTTTTGTCTTTAAAACATCTCTCTGATCTCTTTATGTATGTTATTATACTTATCACAGAAAGTGCTTGCTAAGCAATTCTTTTCATGTAACACTGAATCAGACATGGTAATCAATGCCTGATTAAGCTGGAGCTAGGAGAAATTATACATTCCATGTTCACTCTTGTCTTAATTATATACAGCAGAGAGCCTGACATTCAGAGAAACATAAGATCTCTCTGAAGCTGTTCCTGCCAAATAGATATTTAATACGTGATGCTTATTAAGAACCTGCTGTGTATGTGGACTCTGCTAAGTGATGCTGAGGGGAGTGGTTACAAAGAAGTATTTAAGGGTCATGGTCTGCCCTTAAAGAATTTGTAACTCAGTTGAGGAGTTAAGGAACATGTGGACAATGTGCATATAGGAAGGTAAGGCAGCTGTGGTGTGATGTAGCTTGGAATCTGAACTTCGCTGCTTCACGAACCACATCAGCTCGACGAGTTCTGTGGCTCCTGAGTTCCATCCTCCCCATTTTCAGATGGAGGTGAAGCTCACCTCACAGATTCATCATGATGTTGTTGTTAGTGCATTAAGGTTTGTGGGAACTTCAAGGTGTTATTATTAGGGTTTCTTTATGTTGATGACCAAAACGGCTCCCTAGATCTGCAGGATTTGGGTTGACATTGAAGAATGGATCAAACTGAGAAAGTAGAAAGCTAGAGAAGAAAGCCATTCACGCAGAGCTCTCCACCGGCAATACTGTGACCTAAGCAGAGTTGGTCTTTCCACTCCAATATTTATTACCACCACACCATGTCCTATAATCCTTTCCCATGTCCTGCCTCCCAGGGACCCACGGCTGCCACATTCCCTCCAAAGATCTCACATGGACTCCCTCAAGAGCCAGCCCCCTGTGCCTTCCAAGGAAGCTGCTCCCTAACCCAATGAACCATATTATGCCTGTTTCCTGGACTGTAATATGGAGATGAAATAATTGACTTTCCTTCCTTGAGGCTTATTGTGAGAAGAAAATGAGATTATGGATGTGGAAAGCACTTTTTACTTGTGAAATTCTAGCTGAGTAGGAATTTATGGTTATAAACTCATCTGGTCATGAATTAAATTAGATAATACATGTGAAGATAGGCCTAATGTTATATCTAGTCTGTAGGCTCTTTTTTGAGAAATGGGAAAAGACATTAAATTTTCAATGGAAAAAGTGAAAGGAAATTATCTTTGAAGTCTTTTTGGTACTTTCTAGAGGAAAGTCTTTAGGTTCTAAAAATGACTCTCTGGAATTCATGATGTGGGGCATGGTAATCAACAAAAGAAGTGACCACTGAGAGAAGGGGGTCCAGCCGAGTAGGAGGCAGGAGCAATATGTCAACCAAGGGTGGGTGAGAGATTTGGTAGAATGCCTGAAGCTCTTGCCAGTCACCATGAGTGGCAAGCTCTCTCTTTGGGCAGAAGGTGAGGCTAGTATTTAGTCACTGCCTGTTTTTCCAGGGGTATCCCAGTAGGTGGATTATATACTCATTCTTCTCATTTTTCTGCCTATAATGTTGTCTCCTGTGGGCAGTTTCCCTAGTACCTCCACTAGGGGTATCTGAAAGAAAATAAAGAAAAATGTTATTTTGGCCACTCCTTAGGAGTACTAGTAAAATATTTTCTGGAGATATTTTTAAATGTCTGAAATGAAGTCTGCCTCTCATCTGAAGTTTCCACCAGCTCGGTGGTGATAGGAGACAAGGCTTTCATGCCAGACCAAGAAGGACGGAACCCATTGATCACTGTATAGCCATTTAACCAGAACAAGTTCTCTGACCTTTTGAATTTCACCTTCCTTATCCATAAGTGTGTTAGTGAAACAGAGAAATCCTGAACATAAGCACCTGGCCCAGAGTATGTATTCAGTAAGTATCATTCCCTCTTCAGGAATCACTATAAACAGTATTTAATATAGAGAGCAAAACAGGGTGGATTTTTTTAACTTTTTTAAATTGAGGTACATACAACACACAAATCTTAGTGTACAGATGATCAATTATGATGTGTGTATACTCTTGATATCATTGCCTCATTTTTTAACCTTCATCTATTTCCCCTATCATTCCACTCCCTTCTTGTATGGTAACCACCAGTCTGTTCTCTTTGTGATTACAAATCTATTTCTATTGTATTTATACATTTATTTTGTTTTTCAGATTCTACAGTAAGTGAAATCATACAGTATCTGTCATTCTCTGACTTATATCACTTACCGTAATGCCCTTTAGTTCCATCCATGTTGTCACTAATGGCAAGATTTCATTCTTCTCTGTGGCTAATATTCCATTGTATGTATGTACCACCTCTTCTTTATCCATTCGTCTGTTGATGGACACATAGGTTGCTTCCATATCTTGGCTATTATAAATAATGCTCCAATAAACATAGAGGTAGATACTTTTTTAAATTAATAATTTTGTTTTCTTTCAGTAAATTCCCACAGGGGAATTGCTGGGTAGTATGGTATTTCTATTTTCAGTTTCTTGAGAAACCTCCATACTGCTTTCACTAGTCACTGCACCAATTTCCGTTCTCACCAACAGTGTACTAGGGTTTCCTTTTCTCCACATCCTCAACAACATTTGTTATTGCTTGTCTCATTGATATCAGTCACTGACTGGTGTGAGGTGTTATCTCATTGTGGTTTTGACATGCATTTCCCTGATGGTTAGTGTCACTGAGCATTTTCCCATGTGTCTGTTGTATGGTCTTCCATCTGTATGTCTTCTTTAGGAAAATGTCTGTTCAGGTCCTTGGCCCATTTTTAAATTGGATTATTTGATTCTTTTGGTGTTGAGCTGTAAGAGTTCTTTTTATATTTTGGATATTAGGCCTTAATTGGGTATATTATTGGCAAATATCTTCTCCCATACAGCAGGCTGCCCTTTTATTTTCTTGATGGTTTCCTTTGCTTTTCAGGAGCATTTTAGTTTGATGTGGTCCCACTTGTTTGTTTGTTTTTGTTTCCCTTGCCTGGGGAGACATTTCCGGAAGAGGTTACTCATGCTGATGTTCAAGAGTTTATTGCCTGTGTTTCTTCTAGAAGTTGTATGGTTTCAGGCCTTGTTTTTAGGTCTTTAATCTACTTCGAGTTATTTTTTAGTATAGTGTAAGACAATGATCCTGTTTCATTCTTTTGCATGAAGTTATGCAGTTTTCCCAGCAACATTTATTGAAGAGACTGTTTCTTCCTCATTGCATATTCTTGACACCCTTGTCTTAGACTAATTGACCACACATAAAAGTGTGGGTTTATTTGTGAGCTCTGACTTATGTGTCTGTTTTGTGCCAGTAAGATACTGTTTTGATCACTGTAGCTTCACAGTATAGTTTGAAATCAGGGAGTGTGATACCCTCAGCTTTGGTCTTCTTTCTCAAGATTACTTTGGCTATTTGGGTTTTTTTTGTGATTCCATACAAATTGTCAGATTATTTTATCTAGCTCTGTAAAGACTGTTATTGGTATATTGATAGAGATTGCATTGAATCTCTAGATTGTTTTGGGTAATATGGCCATTTTAACAATATTAGTTATTCTAACCATAAGCATGGGATATTTTCCCATTTCTCTGTGTCTTCTTTAGTTTCTTTCAGCAATGTCTTACAATTTTCAAACTACAGGCCTTCCATTTCCTTGACTAAATTTATTCCTAGATGTTTTATTCTTCTTGATGCAATTGTACATGGGATGGCTTTCTCAATTTCTCTTTGTGCTATTTTGTTATTTGTATATATAGAAAATCACCAGATTTCTATATATTGATTTTGTATTCTGTGACTTTCCTGAATTCATTTATTCATTCTAGTAGTTTTTTGGTGGGGTTTTGAGGGTTTTCTCTATCTAGTATCATGTCATCTGCAACTAGTGGCAGTTTTACTTCTTCCTTACCAGTTTGGATACCATCTATTTCTTCTTCCTGCCTGACTGCTATGGCTAGGACTTCCAGTACTGTGTGAAATAAGAGTGGTGAGAGTGAGTGTCTGTGTTTTGCTCCTGATCTTAAAGGAAAAGCTTTCAGCTTTTCACTGTTGAGTAGATTGTTAGCTGTGGGTTTGTCATATATGACCTTTATTATGTTGAAGTATTTCCCGCCTTACCCACTTTGTTTAGAGTTTTTATCATGAATGGATTCTTAATTTTTCAAAGGCTTTTTCTGCATCTATTGATATGACCATATGCTGTTTATCCTTCCTTTTGTGAGTGTGTGTATCATATTGATTGATTTGTGGATGTTGAACCATCCATGCATCCCTGAAATAAATT